AGTTGTTTCCTGATGCAATGTATCTAGCCCGAGTAAGTCACATGAGTACATCGCGTAGGGCACACACCAGTGGTTGGCATTCCATCGCCAGGTATAAAACAGTCTGGGGGAAGGAGCATGTTTCGGTGAATTAGAATGTACAACTGCTCCACGAATTTGGATACCGTTTGTGCAGGCCTGAGGTGAGATATTCATTCTACTGACAAGGCAAATATAGACACAAACTTCCGGAATTAGGGCACGTGCGGTGGCGTCTAACGAGCCAAGAATCGTATGCGGTGTCCCGTTGCCCATCAGGAACCACCCAGATACTTTGAAATTGGTACTAAGATGTACTCGGGGAGGGTGGACAGTAAACGCGACAGTGTCTGGCAGACCGCCAAAGGTCTTAAGGTATAGCGTGCGTCCTAAACCGTATCAATCGTTGCTCTTGGATATGGCTCAAGGTCAATTCCACTGACCAGGAAACACGGTCCCTTATAACTTGAGTATCATAGGCGACGGCATCTAACAGGCCAAGGGACACGTGCGATAAATTGATGTCCCGCTAGGCATTGCTGACCACGCTGGCGTTTCGGACCGCGACGACGGTGTAGCTCAAGGAAGCTACATGCTATACCGCTTAGCAGGCCACCAGGAAGTTATCAAGGTATACCGCCTGCTTTGCTATGCGTTTTCGTGTTAGGCAAATCCTGATGACCAGCAAACACGGTTTCACGTGTCTGTCCGTGAATGAACTCAAACAGTGTTCCTTAACGTAAGTAAACTAGATTCAGGCACTCTGCACTTTTCTCTGTCGTCGAATCGCCCAAAAAATATGAAATCCCACCAAATATACATCAGCGAAGGGCAACTGTACTGAAAAACATCTCGAGCAATATTAGAACAACATCGACGCCCACGCATTGTTTATCCTACTTCGTAGAAATAAATCTATCTACCTGAGGAAGAGTAACCAATACGTCAGGTTCTAGGTTGGTTCGTTTGATACTTCCCCTGTAAACTAGTCATTTTTCTTGACCTGAAAGCTGAGATGGTTAGAGCGAGAATTTACTGACCGAAAGATCCGCGGTTCGAACCCGACCTCTACCTCTCGACTTCCCGTCTAGGCTTGGGCCAGCTGGCAGTATCCCAGCCCTTGTGCAACATCAGAATAGCAATGGTGGGGCACGCAAGATGATTTCAGAAAGATAGAACTCTCCCGCTAGGCACCAGAAGAGTATTACATATAAAACGATTTGTTTTAATTTTTTGATTACTCGTACAGTAAACAACCAGAGAACAATGCACCATTCCTTGCCATTTATTCAACTCAAACAAAGTGCGTCATACACAATATTACGTCACAGATAGTACTCAAATCACGAGATAAAATAAAGTGGTAGGAAAGAGTAGAACTGGTTGTGAGATGCCCGAAACGGAACACTGTTCTTTTTCATGTGCCGACAGACAAGGAGGCGAAGGCGCCCTGCAACATCAAAATAAATGGGGAACTGAGAGGTGAGAAGAGTATCCGGGGATATTAGAGGTTAAACAGAAAACCGTCTACCTTATCAGTAGTACGCATGGGCGAGAAAGGAAATGAATGAAAGAATGAATGAATGAATGAATGAATGAACGACCACATCAAGCAAACAAAAAGTCAGTCTCATGTAGGATTAAAGAGGGATCGCTACTCGGGATCATTTCGCCCGCGAAGCCTGGAAAAGCAGTTCAGGAACAAGGATACCTACCGTATTGCGATCTGCAATATCAGTGATCAATAATTTAATGACTTAAAGTGGGCACGCGGATTGGTTGGAAGATGTGAGACGTATGAAAAAGGGAAACATGAATAGACCACTGTCGAAGCCAATCAATGACTGTCTTGAAGCAAGCAGCGCGACGTCACTCTGCAACAACCGGTAGTAAACATGACAAAAGGGAATAAAATGTCCGAGTGTGTGGATATGTGTGTGGGTGTTACGATAACAAGCGTGCCCCGACATACAAGTTAACAGTCAAATAGGTTTTGTCATCTGCTATGATCAAGGAAACCGCAGGATGGCATCCCATCGGAGTCAGAAAGCCCTTTTTCACTGCGGACGTGCAGAAATGAAAAACATCGCTCCGCCGTGGCACCCTTTCTGTGTCAAACTGTCATGTCATCAGAAGGAAGCAAGACGGCTGAGCTACTGACCAGTTGCCCAAGCTTGGACAGGGGAAGTTGAGAGGCACGGGTCGTGTTCGAACCACGGACCTTACGGTCACTAGTATTCGCCCAGTATTCACTGGGTGTACTGAGATCGGGTGGCGAGATCTACCAGTGGTTAGAGTGCCAATTGACTGA